GATGGGAATTGAAATAAAATCTGGCCTTCAAGGCATCAGGGCACGCAAATTGCAAGTTACATGTCAGTACATTCTTCGGCCACAATCTCTTATCGTAAGCTGCAGACATCATTTTTGGAATTTAAAATGACAAACTAAAAATGAAATATTCTTTAATCAGTTGCATGTCTACCAACATAATGTGTTGAAAAATGTATGATTTTTCGTCATCCGCGGATTTAGGCGCCGTTCATTTGCTCTCGTACATCAGTATTTCCGCGTAGGGGCATCAATCACCTACGTGAAAAGAAAACAATTTTTTATTTAAGTTTAATAAATATAAATAAACGTCACCTTAATACATATGATTAGAGTTTTCCTTTTGAAAATACCATATGAATAGTAATTTCCCTAAGTTTAATAAATATAAATAAACATCACGTGAATACATATGATTAGAGGTGCTTGTGGATTGCTTTAGGTCCGGTGACCTTTTACCTCTCAACGATCTAAATTTAGTGGATTGAAAAAAATTAATTCGCATCCGTCTGTTTAGTTAAGAGGATCGTAGGGGTTAGCGGGTGGATAAAGATTAATTTGGTAGTTTGAGCTTTATTATTTTATGCTCTGTTTTTTCGTATTATTTTAGAGTATATTTTTACTATTTTGGGCTTTATTTGGGTGAAAATATATTTTTTTAATATTCTTAAATGTCAAACTTTCATATTTCATATATAGCTAATATTATTACTAAATGAAATGTCATTTTTTAATATATATAAAAACATAATCTATGTGTTTGCTTTCAATTTTTTAAATTTCATTTTCTAAAAATTGAGTTTTTTGTTTTTCATGTTTTTTATTTATTTTTAGTGAATATTTTTAAAATTTTAATCAATTTTTTACTTTTTTAGATGCACCTTACTTAGATGTATTTAAATAGTAAAATATTTGTGAAAAAAAGATTAATAAACACACAAAAATATGAAAAATATACTGAGTAGAAAATAAAAAAATTAAAAAATTACAATACCTAATTATATATATATATAAAAAAAAAACTAGTACATATGTAGCATAGTAGTATCTATTGAGTCGAAAATAAAAAAATAAAAAATTACAATACCTAATTACATCAGCCAATCATAATATTTTAATTTGACCAGTTGTGCGGGTTAATTTGTGATGGTGAATTTTTTTTACCAAAAACTTTTTATTTAATTGTTCCCTCACCTAATAAATAAATAAATAAATAAAAATTGCTAAAATGTATACACGCATCCAAACTTATGAAGAAAGTTGCACCACAATTTTCAGTAGTTAATACTCAAACAGTAAAAAACCTAGCAATAGAAAAATAAAATATATTGAATAAAAAACATGTTGACAATGCCCAAAACAACAATAGCAAGTGGGTTTAGAAATTTATAATCGAAATTATAGGAAGAGTTCAGAACTATAGTTCCAAAGAAGAAGAAAAAATTGTTCGGAATTGGATAGCCAGAAAAAAGTTTTTCATCCTGTTCAGAAGTTGGTAGCTGAAAAAAAAAATTATGTCCAGAACTTGATTGCTGAAAAATTTGATAATTTTTTATCATGATTTACCGGATGATACGGAAAAAAATGACGATTTTAATATTGAAACTTACATTTTCTTTGATATCTTTTCATAAATGAGGATATCCTTATCAAAATTAGAGGTTTTATCATACAAAATAATGATGATGAGATTTGAATGAGGAAGAACTCAATCTAAATTAATGAGAATTTGACAATGAAATGAAAAGGATGAGTCCCTTTGGAAGGTGTCAATTTAAACTAAAATAGGTTGATAAGAGATTGGAAAAGATGAAACTTTGGAAGATGTCAATGGAGCGAGTGGGAAAAAAATATATATATATATTTTTGAAGGTTACAAATAAAAGTAGGGTTTAGTACTTTTTTTCATAATGGGTGTGCATTGAGATTTGTTTTAAAAGTTGTATATTGAAAAAAAGGTAAATAATGCTAATACTCTTTAAGATTTCTGTTTAATATAAATCTTTTTTCACATTTGAAAAATTATATTTACCCATCGTCATATTAAAATGACATATTTATTCCTTAACCTTTATACATATAAAATAATATTGATATTTTATTCATGTCATTTCAAAAGAAATAACAATTATTTTCTTTGGTTTAACTTACACAAAAAATTTAACTTTTTAATTTTTTGTATTTTTTATTTTTACTGAATTTTTTTTAATATTTTAAGAAATTTTTTTATATTTTAGATACACCTAATCCAAATATATTTAAGAAATATAATATTTTGTGACTTTTTTAAAAAAAAATTACCAAATATAAAAAACTATAAAAATATAAAAATTTAGTAGTACTATATGAATGGTGGTGTTTAGTAATACTGTAATAAATGTGGGTGAATAGACGAAATAAAAAAATTATGGTGGAAATAAAAAAAAAAATCTATTCATATATAAAAATTTATAAAAAAAAAATATCATAAAAATATTGTAATAGTCACTGCTGGAAAAATGACTTTTAGCGGCATTTTAAAAACGCCGCTATATGTATGAAAAATGCCGCTAATTCCTTTAGTGACGCTTACCACCAAACGTCGAGGACGCGGCCGTCGCTATAAGTTTATGACGCTTTAAAAACGTCGTAAAATTAGTATAGGCGGCGCTTATAAGAACGCCGCTAAATATGGCAGCCAACGGTAATATGACGTCACACAGGCATTTAGCGACGCTTCAAAAATGTCGTAATAGCTTTTTTGTTATTTTAAAAATATAACTATAGTGACGTTTTGAAAAACGCCGCAATAGATTTTTTTCCTTTTTTTTTTTAAACTACTAATTTTCTAAGATTTAACTTTAAAAATATACCTGTAAAATAACAATAATGAATAAAACTTTGTACAGATATATTTCTGTGAGATTACTATTCCCTCACATCTATAAGTTCAATCCATGCAGTAGCTGATCCATTCCTAAATAAATTAACACTCACTCTACCGTAGTTTTAAGTGTTGATTCTTGATGAATCCATGCCGTTTGGAAAAGTATGAAGGAAACAGTGGTGAGGACAGTCCATGATATTGATTACCAAAAAATTATAAAGAAGATAAACATGGACAGTCCATGATATTTTATTCTATTTTGTGTTTTGGGGGTTCATGGCTCTCGACTGCTGTGAAGTTCCAGCATCTCATGGCTTGGTTCAACAGAGACAGCAACTCGATAGTCTCGCAAGGCACCCATAACATCACCGATATGCTCGTGAAATGCTGCCCTCAAGTGTAGCAGGTTGAGGTCCGCTTTGAATGCAATCGCTCTTGACAATTCCGCTATCATTTCTTTTTCCTTGTGGTTGTCCATCAACACTAACCAAACCCAAAAACAAAAAAACACAATCCGGTTCAATACCAAATAACATGAAAACAACTTTACACGATAATAATGTTAAGAAAAATGTTTGGTAACTTGAATTTGTGTCGTCCAAATGGCTCGAATGTATCAAAACGACGTCGTTTTATCCCCAAAACGATGTTGTTTTAAAACGACGTTGTTTTGAGACATTCGAGCTATTCGGGCTATGAAAATTCGGACTACCAAGCTTTGGCGAAGAAAAAGAAGAATCATTTTTTTTAAATATCTGATCGCTCTCAAAAAGTGAGGGATGTGATCTTCAAATCAAAGGGTCCAAAATTATTTGAAATACAACAAATAAAATTCATGACTTCTGATTCCAACCAAAATCATTTTCCTTGCAGAGAGAACACACACACACGCAAACACACACACACACACACACACACGCACACACATCAAAACCTACGGTGTTGAGGAACTAACAGGTACTTTTGAGCTTGCTTCATGGCAACATCAAATAGAAAGCCTTAAAATTTACTAAAGAAACTGTAGGAAAATGTCTAACCTGCAGCCCGATATCTATAAGGAAAGGGTCAGGTATGATCTTAAAATGTACAGTGTTGAGCAAACATTTTCCAATGTCTGGTTGATAGTGGTAGTGGTGAGGTTGGGGTTGCAGTTGTGGTGGAGGTGGTAGCAGCAGTAGTGTGGTGACATTGGTAAGACTGTAGTTTAGAAAACATTTCCCACCTTTCAACAGTAGAAAACATTTTTCCACTCAAAAGTTTGTTTTCTATTGACTTTCATTTTCCATCGTACAAATGCCAGAAAATATGGAAAAAGTTTTCCAAAAAATACTTTCCACCCAAACAAACGGAGCGTAACTACTATTCTAGATGACTATTCCATAATGATTAATTGTATTGCAAGTTGCAGCCTTGATGAAATATAGGGTAAGAGAAAACCATACCTGACCCTTTCGAAGCCGATCTGAGGGGCACTTCAAGGCATCTTGAAGAAGTGATATGACAGTAGAAGAACAAGATGAATCATGGCTAGAATCTGCCAATGCATAGGCTTTCAAAAAGAAGGCCTCAAAAGATCTCATAAGACTTATAGAGTCCTCTGCTTTGCGTAGCCCTTCCTCACAATGACCCATATCATATAAGATCCATCCCTCATAAACTAAACGTTCATGTTCTGTCACGCCCCCAAACTGCCCCTAGTAGTTTGGTGCCGTGATGGCCAGTAATCCGAGATTACCGAAGGCCGACTTACAAGAATCACACACAATCAGAGTATAAAATATGGGGCATACAAGTGCGGAAGCAACATATATATATGCAGAATCTAAATAGTCCATGAGAGCCGTGCTTAAGTCCAATGAAATGACATACATTTTTACAAAGTCTTACAACTTAGATACAATAAGGGAATGAGATACAAAATACATCTTGACCAAAAGGCTTCTCAAGCCGACATATACAAGTACACATGAAATATAGGCTAAGAAGCATAATCTTCAAGATGGTACAAAATGCTAATCCAAAACACGTCGGCAATGCACCCAAAAACACATCGGCTACACGTCTAGGCCTCATTACCTTCTTGCTCATCACCTACATATATATAGAGAGGGTGAGCTTGGATACTCAGTGAATGATATTAGAAATAAAGGTTTTGCATGATTGATATCCAAGATTTCTTTCAAAACAATACATAGCATACTTTACAATCAAGGGGGAAATCAAGTTCATTGCCGGCCTTTCTAGTTCCTTGGATGTTATTACATCTACTTAATACAAGGGGGTGATGACATTCCAATACAAGAGTGCAGTTGCATTATAGTCCCCTGCAACTAAGGACTTTCAAGACAAGAGTGCAGAACAAGATAGTGCTTAATATACAAGTAGGGATAGTCATTCATGCTAGATCAAGTACTTTTCAAAACAAGGCAAGACGAGATTTTATGAAAGCAAGTGTAACATAGCTTTATTAAAAATACCACTCACATAGTTTCTTCAAACGTCGGGGTCGAGACAAGCCCAAGTCCTACAAACACAGGGCAAAGCCTATTGAATGCACTTTCAAACAAGTCCGTATGTACACAAATGATCTCGGAAAACATGCTGGGCACCAACCAGGTCTAGGCCGAGGTTCCACACCTCCTCGCCGAGGTGTGTTCCCAAGGGCCACATTTAGGACAAGAGATCGGGGAACTCTGGGTTTCCCTCTGCTGATGAACATGAAGAACATGAGTGCGAAAATATGAAAAATATGGATGTTCGTTCACGATCTGTTATCACAAATCTGGGATTTTCATGCTACGAGTTTGAAAACGTGGACCTGGGTACCCATACTTGAAGA